TTAAAGCGTGGGAAGTGGAAAAAAAGCGAATGGCTCAAATGGTCAGTTAGCAAAATCAACTAAGATCTCCAAAACAAAGGAGCCTCAGTGGGGAGATACGGCCTGGCTCTTTATCTAGTGCTGTGGCTGGCAAGGTGTTTATTAGAGACAGCCCTGAAGCGGTTGCCTCTTTTGAAATGGATGGCAGTCAAAGCTCAAGTCGGACACTCACATTACAGAAAAGGAAAAAAAAACCAAAACAAAAACCTGTCAGGGCTAATGGCAGGGGTGCTAGAGCTACTGCTCTCCCCGCCGCAGTGGTCACCATGGAGGCTCTGCTGGAGCCCAGATTTACTCCAGGGAAGGCCAAGACAGCCACCCGTGCTAGCGGATGAGGCGATGACCGCGGCTGAAGTAACCTCCAGGCTGTCCATGAACAAAAGGGGCCAAGGGGCTCGGAGAGAGGTGCAGCTGAGCGAATCTGAGGTGGTGCGTTAATTGGGTCTGAGACACCTCGGATTTAGAAATCTGAGGAACACTGCAGAGTCTGTCCCAACTTTTCGACATTCAGAACTCAGTAGCAACTTAAGGGCTCTGAGCAGTCCTGCCATAATGAAAGCTGTTTAACTTTAGACAAATTACTGGTCCATCGAGTTCACGGTATTTGGAATACCACCTGATCTTTAAAGCTCTTAATATTTCTTGGTGGATTGACTATATAACCCAGCATTTCCCAACTTATTCATTCACATGACAACCTCCAGAACTAGCATTCTATGGAATTCACTTTACAAAAATGTTTTAAACCCTCACACCTCTGTCCATTTTCACTTCTGGGAGTTTTTCCAAGGCTAACTCAGTCCTTAACTTTGAATTTCAGGTGATCAGATTTTGCTTTCATTTCTAGTCCTTAAATTCTGAAGCTTAAATTTTTTTTTAAAAATTGTGTAACATATTACATACACACAAGTGCACAGAACTAATTTTAGAGTTAAATAAACTACTGTATAGTGAAATCCTATGCTGTTACTTAGCAGGTCAAGAAAAGGAACATTATATGTTTAACTGAATCACTTTGCTGTACATCCTAAACACTGTAAATCAATTATACTTCAACTAAAAATAATAATAATAATAGGGACTTCCCTGGTGGTCCAGTGGTTAAAACTCCGCGCTTCCACTGCAGGGGACACGGGTTTGATCCCTCGTTGGGGAACTAATATCCCCCATGCTGCACAGTGCAGCCAAAAAAAAAAAAGAAAAGAAAAGAAAAAGGAAAAGAACATTATCAAACCCAAGAAACGCATCATGTGTCTCCCTCCTCCTGCTTGGAGGTAGCCACTATCCTTTTTTTCTGTTTTTCCACTGGACCACCAGGGAAGTCCCACCACTATCCTTTTTTTTTTAACAATCACACACTTGCTTTTCTTCATAGTCCTAAATTACCCTCCTATAGAAGACGGAAGGAATTTGAGGCCGGAAAGTTAGAAGCTTTCATCACCTTGAAATCACAAGGATCAGGATTACAACCTGTCCACGTTCTGGCTCCAGATTTCTTCTCCAGGTTACTGATCACATGTGAGATAGACATGTCCATCCACTATCTTGTCACTTATCAGAGGGAGGAGGGAGGGCAGTCAAGGCTCTGTAGTCAGAAATTTGAAATCCAGGGAGATACACGTTCTTTGCAGATAAGGGAATCTCTACTTTGCCACACAAACCAGAACACTTAAGGGTGGTATGAAGGGTTCTTGATCAACAAGTTTCTTTTAAGATCATGCTGTAAGGAAACTGGTTGCAGAGGGTTATTCCATGAATCTTGAATACGGTTCCATAGGCTGCTGCATTAGAATCACCAGAGGTTTATTTTCCCCTAAACCTTTAATTCTGGGAAATTTCAAACTGATGGAAAAGTAGAGGGAATATTATAACATACCCCCCCATACTCATCACTCAGTTTCAACAGTTACAGACACTTGTTTCTTCTCCATCATTACTCCCTCCCCACACTGGGATTATTTTAAGGCAAATCCCAGATATCATGCCCTTTTATCCTTCAATACTTTAGATAAAGGTTCTTTTCAAAATCATAACCATTTATACCATAAAAAATGAACAATAATTTCACAATAGCATTAAACTCAGAAGTTTAAACAATATAGGTTCCCAGACCCTCTCCCCAGACCTACAGAATCAGATTCATTGTGGAATGTAGGTGTTGACCAAAATAAAAATGCACAACACAAAAGTTGTGAGTTATGTTTTATTTGGGGTCCTTACTAAGCAGCTGCTCCGAAGAGGTAAGGGAGGAGCCAGGATATATATGAATTTTTTTTGCTGAGAAAAATATGTAGTCTGCTAATCACAAAAAAGAGACATCTCAAGTTAATGATTTTAGTGCTTTCCTATGTAAGGGAAGATGCAAGAATCTGGCATCATTAAAAATTTTCATTACATGTGCATCTTAACTACCTAGGGGCCAGTATATCCAAAGCCCAGAACACTTCTTATTTTTCTCCATCCTGAATTCTCCTCAGCGGCCGACTGTAGTAGCTAATGGCTTGATCCTTGTAGAACTGGAATGGCAGGAAACATTTTTTTTCTTTATAGGGGAATCTACATTTTTAGAATAAAATTGTTGAGGTCTGCAACTTGCTAGGTCATTAGCAGAGGACCTTCTGGGGATCTCTGAATAGAATACAAGTGGAGCAGTTTTTCAGTATATCAAAGTCTTAACTAATTAGTCAAACTCTTGCAAGTCAATTAAAATGCATCCTAGAAAAGTATTAATTTAAGGGAAATTTGGCATAAAAGTTTTTCTAAAATGAATATATGTGTCTGGATCCAATTTGTAAATCTCCACATATTGAGAATTTACAATGTGCTTTGCATTAAAGGAAACGAGAGGGACATAGATGACACACTTTTGGGCCTCTCACTGTTGCGGCCTTTCCCATTGCAGAGCACAGGCTCCGGACGCGCAGGCTCAGCGGCCATGGCTCACGGGCTCAGCTGCTCCGCGGCATGTGGGATCTTCCCGGACCGGGGCACGAACCTGTGTCCCCTGCATCGGCAGGCGGACTCCCAACCACTGCGCCACCAGGGAAGCCCGATGACACACTTTTTTAAAGCATAAATGTTTTGCCCTCAAATAAATTATAAGATTAACCTGAGCATAGGGCAGCTTGAAACTACAACACGACTGAGATGGCCCAGCAAGAAACCCCTGTGAGCTGCACCTACCTCACTTACTCTCATCTGATTAAGTGACCAGCCCTATATTTATATACTTCTTTATTTCAGTCCAATTCACAGGCATTTAACTAAGTGCTCAGTAGGTGCTCAGAGCTAAACTAAATTGCAACAGAAATACAAAATACATCCCAGCTCTCAAAGAGCTTAAAATCTAGTGGGGAGATCAAGTGAATATATGTCTGAGATGATAAAAGCTTATGTAGAGGTCCTCAGACTTTACTGTGCAGAAAATCCCCTGAGAATTTGTAAATATGTCGATTCCTAGGGTCTACATCCAGAGATTCTGATCCAGTTGGTCTGATGCAGGGACCTGGAACCTGCATTCTAACACCTTCTCCAGGTAATGTTGAGCTTGCTGGTTCTAAGAGTATACAGGAAAGCCAGGAAGCCTGCGGTAAAAGATGTCCACACTCAGTCCAGAGGAGGTGGAAAGGCACTCAGTGGGGACCCAATCTAGGCAGGCATGCCGCTGCCATCCTCGCTCCTAGCACTGTTTCCTAACAAGATGACTCCTGTCGGGGAGACACTGAAGGAGCCCCTCCTTGTCCCCAGTGGTGTGGGATAGGGGCTCACACCCTAGTCTCTTGTCTCTGTGAAGGGCCATAGCCAAGCCAAGGTCCCCAGGGCCCTTGATGATGGGGTGACTGGCCAGGGAGGTCCCCAGCCCAAAGCTCTTTTTGTGTAGAGGGCCTATCAGAGGCCCCTGCCCCTCCTCCCACCCAACCGCCGGGGGAGGGCGAAGCTTCAACTGGGTGGGGCATCAAGCCGGCAGGAAGGGCCGGCCGGCTTCTACCGGCGGAACGCCACGCATGGCACCTTCATGGGGCTCCTGGGAACTGCTGCGGGGCAGTGGAGAAAGGATGGTGTGGTGGTAGTGGTGTCAGCTCTGTCTAGATGGCGACTGCTGCTGAAGCGCGACCCTGCTCTGTGTAGCAGTGGAGATAAAGCCGGCCACCCCAGATCTAATCCGAGCGCGCAAGACGGGAGGAACCGGCGCTGCTTCAGTGGCGAGGATGGCTTAGTCAGTGCCAACCAGTCCTAAGGAGGGCTACTGCCCCAGCCTGAGGGCAGGCATACCCCGCCCGCAGGAGCCCCCTGGCCTGAGCGGAAGAACATGGGGGGCTCGGGCGTCTGCAGACTGAGAGTGGAAACCGATAAGTGGTTTCCTGAGGGCAAGACACAACCCCAGCCTCAGGAGCCCTTACTCTGAGTTTAGGAGCCACATTCCAAGCCGGGGCCCGAGAACTTCCCGGTGGGACACACCCAGCGCCAAGCCGGGGAAGGCGGCGCAGACTAGTCCCAACTCGGAAACGCCAAGCAGCAGAGCGGGGGCGGGGGGGGAGGGGAGCGGTTAGGCTTTGTGTCGCAGGCCAGGTGGGCTCCTTGGGCCCCGGGGACGCAGGGGACGGGGTGCTAGGGGTCAGTGCCGGGGCCCTATGCCGCCAGCTGCCCCCTCCCCCTTCCCTGCGGGCTTTTGCACACGACGCGCCGCTTCACACGAGGTAGCGGGGACCGGGTAAAGCCAGCGGGAGCGGGGCGCCACGGCTGACGCAGTGGGGACAGCAGCGGTAGCAACAGCGGGACGACCCCTCGCCAGCCTCGGCACGGCCAGGCGGGAGCGAACTCGCGGCAGGGCGGGCGGGCGAGGGGCTCACGCGCCGGGGCGGCGGGAAAGGCGCGCAGTGCCCTCCAGGCAGGTGAGTGCGCGCCGCGGAGCGTCCCGCGCGCAACTTCCAGGGAGCACACGGCAGGGCTCACGAGGCCGCATGGAGGCCACCGAGAGGAAGCATCTGTTGGACCCCGGGCTTGGAGCCGGGTAAGGCGAGAGCCTGGGGAGGGGCGGGAATTTGAGTGGCATCAGACCCACCTCCTCATTTGCTATCCTGCCAGCGGTTGGTTTGGACGGCGGCTTGAACTGGGACCACACGGGAGGGGTGGGGTGAGGTGAAGGAAGGAAAGGGGAAATGGAGTCTGGGCACGGGGATCATCCCTCCCCTCTTGTGGCTGAGCACAGATCCTGACCCCTGCGGGTTAGTGGGGAGTGCGTGCCTGGAGCCTTGCCCCGGGGCCAGCACTTTGCCCGGGGGCAGCCCCGCCCTGGGAGGCCCGGTGTCCCCAGACTGTGAGAAGCGGAGATCTGCTCTTCTTCTCCCTGCTCGGCTGGACCGGCCCAGCCCCTTGGCCGGTTCCCAAGGTCTTTGCCTCCTCCAGGCCCTGGGAGGGATGGGGGAGGAGGGAACACACCGAGCCAAGACTCCTGAACTGGTTGTTCCCCAGCACCCCCTGCAAAGAGGGGCTTCTGGTCACTCCGCAGAGTCTGTTGAGCTCGGAGTATCCTTAAGCTCCTCTTCCAAATGGGCACATGGGAACAACCAGGCCCCGCAGAGAGGTAAGACTGGAGTCAGCCCTCTTTGCTCCCATCTCAGAGCTGAGCCTCCCCTCACCCTTCCTCCTTGGACAGGTCTTACAGATCTCTGTGGCAGGATGGGGCTGGCTGGATGCCTCTGCCTTCACCTGGCCTGGACTTGCAGCCCGTTGAGCTGGCTGCCAAGAGCAACCATTACTGTCATGCCCAGACGGGTCCTGGCAGTCACTGCGACCTCAAGAAGAAGAGGGCGTGGCGCCAGCTCTGTGTGGCCTGTGCTTTCTGCCTGTTGTTCATGATTGGGGAAGTCATTGGTAAGGACTTTTTTGCTAATTAAATGAAATTGGCACATGGGTAGTTTGGATGATCCAAAAGGCTTTTCTCCTGGATGTTCCTGTAGTATTAATACTAAGAGCTCCATATTTTATATGCACACTGTGTCATGTAATCCTCACAACAACCTTGCACTGTCATATGGGTGCTGTTAGTCTCTTTATTTTACAGATGATGAAACTGAGGCACCATAAGGTTTAGGAACTTGTCCAAGATCACACACAACTAGTAGGTCAGGGAAGACATGAGTGCCTAGAAGGAAGGAGCCTTTACTGAGTGCCTGCTATGCTTTCCAGGCCCATTTTTGTTTATTGTTTTTGTTTTTGTTTTTTTTGGCCATGCCATGCGGCTTGTGGGATCTTAGTTCCCCGACCAGGGATTGAACCCATTCCGAGGGCGCAGTGAAAGCGGGGAGTCCTAACCACTGCACCACCAGGGAATTCCCCTACAGGCCCAATTTGAACTCAATTTTCACGTTCACCCTCTAAGTAGATTTTGCTAATCCCATTTCACAGATGGTAAAAGTTGAGGCTCGGAGAAAGTAAGTCACTTGACCGTGGTTAGACAGCTAATGGTGCAGAGGTCTGGAATCCATTGTCTTTCTCCAGAGCTCATGGTTTTCCTGCTGCACACACACTCTGGGAAGTTGGCTCCTTGGGGAACTGATAAGGACCCTCCATCCTCTTGGCCCTGCCCCTGCAGGTGGGTATCTGGCACATAGTTTGGCGATCATGACAGACGCAGCCCACCTGCTCACTGACTTTGCCAGCATGCTCATCAGCCTCTTCTCCCTGTGGATGTCTTCCCGGCCAGCCACCAAGACCATGAACTTTGGCTGGCAGCGAGCTGGTAAGGGCCCTGGTTGGGATGGGGATGGAGTTGGGAGAGGGGGTAGGTCAAGATTAGGTTCTTAGGTGGGTGCACTGGGTCCCTGAGTAAGGCCAGGGGGGTGATTTGGGTGGGGGAAGAGGATGTCAACCTTGGCTTCTGTGCTTTGGGAGCTCCCAGTCTGATGGGGGAGCCCTGGTCCCCTGTTCCTCTGGGAATTCCCACCCTGCAGGAGAGGAGAGTCCACCTTCCTAAGAAATGAAGTGGCCAGACTTCAAGAATAAATGACTGTGCATTACCTCTGCACATAACTCCATGGATCAGCTCTAGGGGGAGGGAAAGTTCAGCAAAGCCTTCTGAAGTTCATCTCTGGGCTGCATTGTCATTTTTCCTCTTGGTGGCAGATGGCCCAGCCTCTGTTCCTCAGAAGCCTTAGTTTGCCAGCTGAGCAATGGGTTTATATTTTAATGAGTCAGCTTCAACAGAAAGGGCTGACCCAGATGATTTCTTGAGTTTCTTCTAGCTCAGATGTTCCCAGACGTAAGAGTCGTGGGGTAAGGTGCAACCACACCAGCCATAGCTCCAGCAGTGCCCAGTCGGACCCAGGCCCAGACTTTGTGGGGAGGAGGAGGGGGCTCTTTAGCCTTAAGGCCCCATGCTAAGATTGGTATTGTGGGCCGGGTTCTTCCTCAGAGATCCTGGGCGCCCTGCTCTCTGTGCTGTCCATCTGGGTCGTGACTGGGGTACTGGTGTACCTAGCAGTGGAACGGCTGACCTCTGGGGACTATGAGATCGAGGAGGGGACCATGCTGATCACGTCGGGCTGTGCTGTGGTCGTGAACATCATGTGAGTGTGGCCTGGGTTCCCTGTGAGTCTTTCCCCCTCCCACTTCTCACACGCATACCTACATGCCTGCTCTCTTAGGAGGAGGTGCCACACTCCAGGATAGGTCGCAGGATCAGAATTTCCCTAGTGGTCTGAGCTCTGGCACCTGGAACACCTGAGTCCTGCCTGAGGCCTAGGGCAAGGCTATCGGGAGCTGTAAACCTGGGGCAGCATCAAGTTCCCACCCCATACATGCCAGTGAATAACCAGAGAGGCTTCCTACCTGTCATGGGGAGGGGTGAGTTTAGTTCTTGCAGGAGCAGGTGTCCCTAGGGGCAGAATCCAAGTCCTTTTTCAAGGTGATGTGCCTGAAATTGGTCTCAGTGAGAGGCAGGGTGTGTAGAGCACCGGGGTCTCTTTTGGGTTCTCTGACCTTTGCTCAGTGGCCTTGGGCAAGCCACTTCCTTCTCTGGGCCTCAGCTTCACCATCTGTGACATGGTGAAGGCCCCTCTGTGGGGCTTTCCTGCTCTGAGACTTGGCACTGGGGCATCTTTGTGCCCAGACTCAGCCTGGCATTGGATGGAGCTGAGCCCCTTCTCCTGTTGGTACTCTGAACCAAGGCCACGTGGGTTGGGCTCCTCACGTGGCCAAAGGGATCATGTAGTCTGGGGAGGCCAGTCCTGATGGGGCCCTCTACCTGGCTGATTTGAAGCCTCTATCTGCTACCTCAATGAGCCCCTTGGCCTTGTCTCCACTTCTGTAGAATGGGATTGATTCTTCACCAGTCTGGCCACGGACACAGCCATGGCCATGAGCACAGCCACGACACCAGCCAGCAGCAGGAGAACCCCAGTGTCCGAGCTGCCTTTATCCATGTGGTTGGAGACTTTCTGCAGAGCTTGGGCGTTTTAGTGGCAGCCTTTATTTTATACTTCAAGGTTAGAGCTGGGGACATAGGGAAGTGGGCCGGGTGGGGAAGGGAGGGTAGATCATCTGGAGGCTTCTCTCTGCACAGGACCGTTTCCAGATTCTAGCTCCCTCCCAGCTCTGGGCAAAAGGGTAGGAGAGGGAAGGAACATTTATCCAACACCCAGTAAGTGTTAGCACTTACAGGCTTGATAACAACCCTGAAGGGGAGGTGGTGGTGTTTTCTGCAGCTCAGAAAGGCTCAGGGACTTGCACAGCGTCACCCAGCTGGTAAGTTGTGAAGCCAGATTCAAACCCAGGACTGTGTGCTGCCTGGGCGTTGCCCATCACATAGAGGCAGTGTGGTGTAGTGGAAAGAGCCAAGGGTTGGGTTTGAAGCCTGGTCCACCCCTTGCCAGCCGCATGATGTGGAGTGAGTCCCTTGCTCTAATTGAGCCTCTGTTTCCCCATCTATAAAATGGGGATGTTGGACCAGATGGTGCCTAAGATTCCATTTAGCTCTGTCCGTGTCTCAGCCCCTTGGGCAAGGAGGGGTGGGAAGGTGCAGTGCCTTATCCTAAAGTGTGGTCTGCCCTGCCTGTCCTTTTGGACACAGAATAAAAGGTAGAGAACTGGGAGGCAGGGCCAGGGTGAGGTTCATGCCCACCCTGCAGAGAGAGCCCCTCTCCGTGACTTAATGCTGGGTGGGAGCAGAGAAGGGAGGCTAAGGTGTTGGGTGGTGAGCCCCAGCTCTGCCTTGCCCTTTTCCTGTAGCCAGAGTACAAGTTTATAGACCCCATCTGCACCTTCCTCTTCTCCATCCTCGTCCTGGGGACAACCTTGACCATCGTGAGAGATGTGATCCTGGTGCTGATGGAAGGTAACCTGGGCTTGGGGCTCCCTTTTCGCTCTTGGCTCTCCAGCTCTAATATAAGTTCACGTGTGGTGTGTGTGTTGGGTGTAGGGTGCATCCCAGCACATTGGCGGGGGGCCATGGTCTGGAGCCTGGCATAGGTTGGAGAACCTCCTGGGGCCCCGGACTGATCTTGGCATTGAGCAGGGCCCTCAGGTGTGGTTGTTTCTGGAAATGTCCTCTGGATTGTCCTTTCCTTCCTCTTACCCCCAGGGGTGCCTCCTCCCTGCTGGGATGTGTCCTCCCTGCCTAGGCAGGGGGCTTCCGGCTGGTGTCTGTAGCACGTGGCCCTCCAGTCCTTCCTCATGTTTCCTGAGTCTCCACTTGCCTTCCCTTGGGGGCTGATGTTTATGTTTCTCATTGCACAGTGGGGTCGGGGGTCGGGGGCGGGCAGACTGAGGATCAGAAAAAGACAGTTGGTGTTGGATAAGACTGCAGAATCCACTCCAGCTCAGGCCTTCCTTTCTGAGGACCCCACCTCCAGAGGACGTGGCAGCGCTTTGAGGGGTGCTCAGTGGTGGCAGATGGTCTGCCCTGAGTTACCACACTTATTCACCCGGCTTGCTTGTGCTCAGGATCTTGGGTCATAGGTCTCTGTGTGGTCAGGGTTGGTCTAGATCCTGATTTGGGGTCAACAGGAGTGCTTGGCTGCAGGTCAGAGCTTTTTCTCCAAGAATGTGACTGACCCAGATAAAAGTCATGATAAGGATTCCCTATGCGGGTGCAGGGATCCCCAGTTTCCCTTCTTTGAAAAAAAAAAAGTTTTTTATTTGAAGTATAGCTGATTTACAATGTTGTGCCCGTCTCTGCTGTACAGCAGAGTGACTCAGTTACACACATGTATACATTCTTTTTTAATATTCTTTTCCATTGTGGTTCATCCCAGGAGATTAGATATAGTCCCCTGTGCTCTACAGTAGGACCTTGTCCATCCATTCTACATGTGATAGTTTGCACCTCCCAACCCCAAACTCCCAGTCCATCCCTCTCCCTCCCCGCCACCTTGGCGACCACAAGTCTGATCTCTGTGTCTGTGAGTCTGTTTCTGTTTTGTAGATAGGCTCATTTGTTCCATATTTTATTTTATTTATTTATTTATTTTAAAGTAGGTTTTTTTTTGTTTTGTTCTGTGTTTTAATTAATTTATTTTTGGCTGCGTTGGGTCTTTGTTGCTGCACGCTGGCTTTCTCTAGTTGCGGCAAGCGGGGGCTACTCTTCCTTGCGGTGTGTGAGCTTCTCATTGCGGTGGCTTCTCTTGTTGTGGAGCATGGGCTCTAGGCGCGCGGGCTTCAGTAGTTGTGGCACGTGGGCTCAGTAGTTGTGGCGCACGGGCTTAGTTGCTCCGTGGCATGTGGGATCTTCCCAGACCAGGGCTTGAACCCGTGTCCTCTGCATTGGCAGGCGGATTCTCAACCACTGTGCCACCAGGGAAGCCCTCATTTGTTTATTTTTGTTTTTATTTCTGTTGCCTTGGGAGACTGACCTGAGAAAACATTGGTATGATTTGTGTCAGAATATGTCTTGCCTATGCTTTCTTCTGTTAGTTTTATGGTGTCAATGTCTTATGTTTAAGTCTTTAAGTCATTTTGAGTTTATTTTTGTGCATGGTGTAAGGGTGTGTCTAACTTCATTGACTTACATGCAGCTGTCCAACTTTCCCAGTACCACTTGCTGAAGACAAAAAAAATTTTTTTAATAGAGCATATACTGTGGGACTAGGCACTGTTCTAGGCACTGAGGATAGGGTGGTAAACTAAACAATTGTCCTGCTCGCATAGTTTCCACTTCAGAGGGAGAGACAGCAAGAAACTAACAAATAAGATAATTTCTGCCAGTGTTAAGTGTGAAGAGGAAAATACAACAGGGTGAGATGATGGGGGTCATTTGGGAGGTGGGGGCAACGTCAGGCCAAGGAGCTCTGAGTGAGGGGACATTTGAGGAGCAGGAACAGGCGTGGGTGGGAGGGCACCCTTTCCTTCAGCCCCTGTCCCTGCCATCCTCAGGGACCCCCAGGGGCATGGACTTCATGGCTGTGCGGGATCTGCTGCTGTCGGTGGAGGGGGTGGAAGCCCTGCACAGCCTGCATATCTGGGCGCTGACTGTGGCCCAGCCTATCCTGTCTGTCCACATCGCCATCGGTGAGTAGTGGGAACACTCGGGGTGGGTGAGAGAGAGGCAGCGGGAGGCCCGGGGCCATCCCTGATGGGTCCAGATGACCCCAGATGCTTGCAGTGCCCATGCATTGGACCTGACCCCATGCTGAGTACTTGACATACATTATTTCATTTGGTCATCACAGTCCCATTTATAGATGAAGAAACTGAGGTTGGGGGGTGGGGGGTGGTAAGGTCACTCGCCCTGGCTCTTACAGCTAATCAGTGGCAGAGGAAAGATTCCTAGCCTTAAAGCCAGTGCTTTTCCTGCTCTTTCAGGGTTGTGCCAGGTATGGGAACCAGAGGGTTGCCTGGTACAGGAGTGAGTCTGGGGGTTTCTTGATGTTCATCATCCCCTATCTTGTTCTGCTGGGGGTAGGATATGAGACTGAGGCTCCTAATCATTCCTAAGGGCCCAAGACTGAGTAATCGGTTCTCTGGTGCCTCCCCTCATGTGTCCTCTCTGCCCCCAGCTGGGAATGCAGATGCCCAGGCTGTGCTAAAGGCAGCCAGCGCCCGCCTGCAGGGGAAGTTCCACTTCCACACCATGACCATCCAGATAGAGGACTACTCTGAGGACATGAAGGACTGTCAGTCATGCCAGGGTCCCTCGGACTGATTGCTGGGCCAGGCACCAACTGGGGCAGGGACAGGCCTGCCGATGGCTGGACTGAGTGTCCCCCAGGCCCAGCTAGGACTCTGCCTACCCCAGGTGGGTTATAAACCAGGTCACTCTCCTGACTGCTGCTCCATGTTCAGTGTGGAGGAGGCTCGTCCCACTCCAGGAACGGTCTCTATCCCGTCTCCCCCATCCGACTCCCGCCAGCCCCAGGATGGGAACTCTGCAGGTGTAAAGCTGGTGTGACCCCACTCTTCCAGCTCCCGGTGGGGCAGGGTTTGGGCCTCATCCTCAGCTAATGCCGCCCTACCACTAGCCTCTGGAAAGGCAGTGGGGCATAGTGAGGGGTGACAGAGGGGAGACTCATTGTCCCCTCACCTGCCTGCCTCATTTCCCATTTTCAGTCTGTCTGGCCTTTGCCTTACGAATCCGTAAAGAAGCCCTGGGACAGAGACCCCTTCCTCTGCCTCTAACAATACACTACAAGGAGGCCATGGGGAGTTGGGGAGTTGTGAGGACTCTGCACTCATACGGGTCCCCCCTGAGATGGGGAGCCAGGGGGCACCTGAGGCTGATCTGTGCCTGAGTCATTTCACTGAGAGCCAAATGTTTCCTTTTCCTGGAGGTAGGGGGCTTCTGACTAGGTAAGGACCTGCTGGTTTCCTCTTTCTTTATTCACCCCACCTCGCCAACGCCCAGGAAGCTGTGCCAACACAAAGGTGTCCTGGCGGGAGGGGTGGAGGTGGGCAGAGATTTCAGCTTGGGTCCCCCACAAACAGCCCCACAGGCCCCGGGCCACTCCTCTTGCCCTGATTGTGTCCCGGGGTCGAGGAGCCTGACACTGGGTATGGTTGGGCCAGCTCTGTTGCCGGTATGGCCTGGCCTGCTCAAAACTTGGGGATGGACGACACAGAGGGTACAACCTGAACAGGAGCCCCTGGCTTTCTGAGGTGTGTGTGAAGATTCCTGAATTAGGAGGTGGCTTGTATTTCCAAGATGAAGCCAGGGGACCTGTCCCCAGTCTCACAGAGGAGGCAGCATGCCCAGTCATCAGGTGGCTCTGATCTAGTGGTCTGTCTCTGCCCTTAGGCAGGTCAGCGCCTCTCTCATCTGTGGACTAAGAATGTTTACACCTACCTCACAGGGTGGTTGTGAGGACTGGAACCAAAGTCAGCTGAGCATATGGTGGTTGTGGAAGAGTGGGTACTTTTATCATCTTTCTGGAAGGATGGCCTGAGGGGCAGGTGGGCTTTCCAGCCTCTGGGGGCAGCACTGGGTTTGTCTTGACTCTGTCCTGACCCACAGCCGGAGGAGGAGGGGTTGGTCACTCGCCTTCCCCTCTGAGCCTCTCTTCCCATCTGTGAAACGACCTCTTTGTGCCTTTCCAGCACTGTCATCCGGGGTTGGCTGTGATCTAGGTTTGAGGGTTCTTCGGCCCCTTCAAATCTGTGGGAAGTTGTGCTGGCTTGGAAGTGTGTGTGTGTGTGTGTGTGTGTGTGTGTGTGTGTGTGTGTCCGCTGGTGGAGCTCCACTCCACCCCAATCTTAGGAATCAAATTCCTCCCTCCTCCCAGCCATGGCAGGCCGCAGGAACCTGGATCCTGGGCTTTGCTATATTCCAAGTCCTTACACACCTCTCAAGAGACAGTCATTGCTGTCCTCCATTTTTAAAGATGAGAAAACTGAGGCTCAGAGAGATTGAGTCACTTGCCCAAAGAAGCACAGCCCTAGGCCTCCCCCTACAGCAGGGGCTGGGGACCTGCTCTGGGCTGCATATTGGTACAGTATGAGCCCTTGGGCCTGGCAGCCCACAGGCAAGGCCATGCCAAGGTAGTTCAGTGTTCTGGGTGCTGCAACTGTGAGTGGGGAGGGAAAAGGTGTCTCTTTCCCCCAGCTGGGCCTGGCACTTGGAGTCCTCCCCACCCTGGGAAGGCTGCCTGGGTTGCAGCTGTGTGCTTCCTCAACAACTGTCCTTGACTCAGGGCCAGACTGTCTTCCCTCCCCTTAAACTCCCCCCTCCATCTCAAGAATATAGCAGCCCCACGCCTCCTCAAAGAGCCTTCTCTGCATCCCACGCTGTGACTGGCTCTGGGGATGACCTGAGTCATCCAGGGGCCAGAGGTCAAACTGGAGGATGGACGTGGGACGCCTTGGGGACACCATGTTCTGGCCAGAGAGCTAGTCACTAGTCACGGGAGTTTCCAAAGCTGCGAGGCCATCAAAGCAGAAAAACACCGGATACCCTGGACCTGGTTTGGACCCACATCCCCATTCCTCTAGAGTGGCCCCAGCTCCCAGGCAAGACCTGAGTCCTCCTCCCCCCGCGCAGCTGCTGTAGAGGTATTTATAGCCTGAGCAAAGGGGCAAAGACACGCGCTTTATTTCGGAAGTGATCATTCCAGTTCCAGGTGGGTGAACCCAGGAGAACCCAGGGTCCCCTCCCCCTCTCCACTCTCACCACCTGGGCGCTCGGGACCGCCCTTGCTCCCACACAGCCCACCTAGAAATGGCCCCTTCTTAGTCCTAAGTGTGAGCCAACCAGTTTTCCGACTTCAAGCTGCGCACCACCAATCTCGACGTCCCCGCTCCCCCTAATCCCACCCGACGGGCGTTTCGAGCTTCCTTCCCTTTCCGGGGGGAGGGAGCGCGGCGCGGTGCTGACCACTAGTGGTCAAGGCTGGTAATGCAGAACGACGGCAGTGCCTGAGCCGAGGGGCCCGAGCCCGGGCCCTGCAGGGCCACCGGCGTTCCCATACCACCCCCAACTGTGCTCCGCCAGGTAGGGAAGGGAGCCCCGAAGCTGGCTCCCCGGCACTTCTCTGCTCTATTCTTGGGGCGCGAGGATTGCGCCCAGGATTCTGCGAGAAGCTGCTTTCCAGCCGGACTAAAAACCCGGGGGGTGGGGGTGGGAGGTGCAGTTTTGTGTCTCACTCCGCACACCCTGTCCACACCCCCGCCACTGTCGCCACAGGGCCAGGCATGTAGTTGATGTTACTTCCGTCTACCTGTTCGTCAAATATTTGTGGCGCACCTGCCAGGCCAGAGAGACGAGGACACGGCCCTGCCCTCCCGGGACTCCCGGGTCAGTCCTGGGGCCTGACGATGTACCTTGCGAGGCAGCATGAATAGCGTCGGGACTAAGGGACACGCCCGGCTGTGAAAGCGCAGAGGATCCGGGGCGGGGGTGGGGGTCAGGCAGGTTCGTGGAGGAGGCGAGGATCTGAAAGAGAAGTAGATGTCAGCTCGGCAGAGAAGCCGAGAAAGGCATTCCCGGCAAGGGGTCTGCGAAGGCAGAGGAATGACCCCAGAGCCGGCGACGTGGGAACTGCCACTAGCGGCTAGGCTGGGGGGTGGGGGGCGAAGCGGTGGTTGGCCAATCGGGTACTGCCGTGCTGGCTAAATGGCAGCCTTGATTGGGTCTCCAGATACCGCAAGGGAGGAGGCGGAGCCTCCCCCCTCCCCCGAGGCAGTTGCAGTGACCGGTGGGAGCCGGGCCGGCGTCTCAGCTAGTCCCTCCTAGGGCTTCTCCAGGCTGCGATACTTCTTGCGCAGCACGGACACCGGGTCCTTGAAGAGCACGGGGTCCAGACGGAGGCGAGAAGATACCAGAGGCATGTGGCCGAACCCTGCCGCCACCTGGTTGATGCAGTTCTGGGCTGCGGGTTGCGGCTCCTGCCTGAGCCCCGGACCCCCAGGCTCCTAAGGGGGGCGGGGAGGAATGAGTTGGAGGGCTTCTCTGTCCTCGGAACCCCACCCTACCCCCGCCTCGTGCAGCAAAAAGGGTTAGGGTTAGAACGGGAATCCCTTCCCCAGCCGGGGCCCTCCCAGTGCCAACCACCCCCCTAGATCCTCACCAGTGAAGGAGGTCTGGCCTCCTGATGCCGCATCCCATAGGGCACCTTGATAGGGGGCAACTTGGTGACGGATGCTACTAGGAAGTTCATCAGGACATCCACACAGGTGGGTGCCTCATCTGCCAGGGTCCTCAGAGCCTTGGGCAGGGAGTGGGTGAAGAGGGTGTGGTAATACCTGGGTAAGGAGGGAGGAGCAGGAGAGGCTGCCGCCGCATTCAACACCCCGCCCAGGCCCCATTCTTCTCCCTCCTGACCTTACTCTCCCTTTGACCCCAATTCCTAAGCTTCTTGTGAAAGTCCTGCTCCCTTTTCTGCTGAGCTCTGGCTGCCTCAGAGAGCTCCCACCCCAAGTATGCACCACTCTCCACTACTCTGTGCTCTGTGGCTTGTCTGCAGCCAACGGTGAACTCCCTGCCGCCTCCCTCACTGCTCCTTGGGGCCCCCTTCCCTGGGCTCTGAAATCTGAACTCAGAGCCAGAATGAGGGGAGGATCAGCTAGTTGCAAGGCCATCAAACATGGCAGGCCAAAGACCAGCTTCAGGAAGGCTGTGGATTCACCCACCCCTAAATCCAAACACTGTCCATATCCTCTGCATGGCTCTACTTAAAATACAACTAGCTGCTGGGCTTCCCTGGTGGCGCAGTGGTTGGGGGTCCGCCTGCTGAGGCGGGGGATGCGGGTTCGTGCCTCGGTCCGGGAGGATCCCACGTGCGGAGCGGCTGGGCCCGTGGGCCGTGGCCGTTGGGCCTGCGTGTCCGGAGCCTGTGCTCCGCGGCGGCAGAGGCCGCGACAGTGAGGGGCCCACATGCCGCAAAAAAAAAGAAAAGAAAAGAAACCCAACTAGCTGCCATTTGTTGACTATCTGTGTGCCAAGGACTTTTTTTTTTTTTCCCGGTACGCGGGCCTCTCACTGCTGTGGCCTCTCCCGTTGCAGAGCACAGGCTCCGGACGCGCAGG